GCTTCCTGATTGGCCAGTAAGCCGTCTCCATGCTCCCTCATCATGAGGTGAGGAGGGAGCATGAAGCCGGCTTCCCGGCCAATCAAAAAGCCGGGTGCCGCGTCATTACACATCGCCCGGCTACCTGATTGGTGGGGAGGCGGCTCCGTGCTCTCGTCACAAATGACGAGGAAGCATGGAGCTGGCGTCCTGATACCGTAAGTATCGAGCTAGGCATCGGAGCATTTGGGCGGTTGTTTGAAGTGAGTATTTCCCTTATGTGGGAAATTTAATCATAATTTATGTATCCTAGTGGAAACCGAGAGCAAAAAAAAATAAAAAAATCAGGGGTACTTTATCCAAATAAAAAAAAAGTTTTGGCTTGTGATATTGATGAATCTCAATGCATGTCTGAGTACGGAAACGTAACTTTATCTTCTGGATTCTAAGAACATCACACAAATAGTTGTTACGAAAATAGAGTTTATTAAAAACACACCTCTAATATTTTCAAGAGTTTAAAGGTGCTTCTTCCCCCAGTAAAAACAAAACAACGGAAAAAAAAAGTACGAGCTGTAAACTTTTCAAATAACTTATTCAAAAAGTTACAGCGAACCATGGGAGGCTTGTTATGTGTTCTTTTAATACGATGGTATTGTATTTCGTAACCATTTTAAATAGAAGGAAAGCCAATAAGTTTACAATTCTTCAGAAACTAACGAGAGGTCAATCAGCGGAAGCAAAATATTTTACAGCTTAATGTACAACGCCAAAGATCTACTCAACAAAAGTTTGTGGTTGTAAGGTGTTAACGTGCATCTTAGGATTTAGACTCAGAGTCCTTTTCTGTTTTATCAGCCGGTGATGAAACTTTAGGCGTCTTGTCTTCGGCGGGTTTTTTCTCAGGAGGTTCAGGTTTTTCCTTGGCGGTGTCAGGAGCAGGCTCTTTGGGCTCTGGTTTTTCACTTGCGGGCTCGTGGTTTTCGGTCACACCATGTTTACGATCAGGGAAATCTAGAAGAGGTTTACGTGGTTCCCTCTCTCGTCCTCCAGACCACCTGCTCCTTCCTTCAGGTTCCCTTGGTCTGTCACGCTCTGGACTTCCTCCTCGGCCCCAGTTTCTTCTGCCACGGCTTGCTCTCTCATGGTCATCAAAGCGGCCGCCAAAGTGTTCTCGATCATCCTCATTACGATTTCCAAAAGACCTTCTTCCGAATCTTTCTCTTTCGGGATGAAAGCCCTGCCTTTCATTCCTATCTGGGTGGAAGCCTGGTCTTTCTGGATTAAAACCTGGCCTCTCGGGGTGAAATCCCGGCCTGTCTGGATGGAAGCCTGGTCTATCAGGATTGAAACCTTGTCTATCAGGGTTGAAACCTTGTTCGTCATCCATCTCAGGATTAAATCCTTCCTCCTCTTCCATTTCAGGGTTAAATTCAGACGCCTCATCCATTTCAACATCAAATTCCTCCTCTGCCTCGGGATTAAACCGATGCCTATCATTTCGGTCGGGATTAAACCCATGTCTATCACCTCTTTCTGTATTAAACCCATGCCTATCACCCCGTTCTGGATTAAACCCTCGTCTTTCATTTCTAAATGGCCTACCTTCTCTATCTTCAGGACATCCGGGCCCGCCCCTTCCAAAATGTCCCTGTGGTGGATAAGGGCCTCTAATACCATGGGGTGGCGGCATTCCAAAACCACCTGGCCCAGGAGGACCTCTGTGTGCCATATGAGGTGGCATTTGGCGAGGTGGCATTCCAGGAAATCTTTGCATGTGAGGTGGGGGAACTCCAGGTGGTCTTTGAAGAGGTATTAATCCAGGCCTAGCCCCTAGAAGGCCTGTTGAAGGGCTTTGCAACCCAGGCATAGGGCCTGGTGCTCCGTGTGGAGGCCCCTGGTATGGCCCTCCTTGGGGTCCTTGAGGTGGTCCTGGACGGGGTCCTTGAGGTGGAGCTTGTGGTGGACCTTGTGCAGAGTGTGGAGGACCTTGGGGTGGACCTTGTGCAGAGTGTGGAGGACCTTGGGGTGGACCTGGAGGCCCTTGCGACAGACCATGTGTCTGGTTTGGAGGACCTTGTGGTGGGCCAGGAGGACACTGGGATGGGCCTGCAGGAGCATCAGCTTGAGGTCCTTGGGACGAAGCACCTTGTGAATCATCTACAAGAAAAACAAAATGTATATTAATGAAAATGAAATTGATTATATTATTACTAACAAAATTAGGCAACCTGGCATGAAAGAAACAGAAGGTTGCCACTATGGAAAATACTAGTTGCCTAGCTATTATGCTGACCCTCTGCTTCTTTAAGCCACAACACATACCAGATTCAGATTTCTGACTACTGATCTGCATACTTGTTTTAGTTCATGACTCAAAGTTTCAGAGTCAGGCAACTAACATTTGCAGGAGGAAGTCAGAAATTCCAGATATCAGATTTTTTTTGTTAGGGATGTGCAGATACCAGTGCCGATACTTGGCATTTTCATGAGAACTACCAGGGTGCAGCGGTTGCAGCTGGGACCTGGCTTGTGTGCTCCACCACTGTCCTGAAATCATTAGTCTGTATTGTTTTAGAAAAACTGTCACATGACAATAAAACACAAATGTATCAGTACTTGTATCTGTGAGGACTTGGAGAAGTATCAGCACTTGTACTTGCAAAAATGGTATCGGTGCATCCCTTTATTTATATTTATAGAGCAAAATTGTACATTAAAACCGAGATGTAAAAATCCCAGGGGCTCCGTGTGTACTGGTACTGGTACCAAATACGGTTCTTAGTATCTGAACATCCCTAATATTTTTCTTATAAAAGGTCTCATAAAAAGAAAACAAATTACCAATATATACATAAACTTGTGTGCTCAGCAATAGTAACAACAGAAAGCTACACTAAAACCTTATAAATCCAGCTTCTCGGTATAATTATGAATCAGCATGCATTTTATTTGGCTTTACTTATACTGCCTATGAAGCTTAAAGGCCCGAGGAGGTGTAATAGCAACTGCCCTGTGAACTGCCTGTTTCCAATGCCGATAACATACGCTCACTCCCGGCACCTGAGTGTACATGACAGTACCAGAGTTCAGAAATAGTTTGCACTCCTCTAAATCAAGTTATTTGGTACCATCATACACATTCGGGGTCAGAAAATAACAATAAATGTAAAACAGGAACACAAGTTGTTGACAAAGTGAAAATCTTTTATTCACTGGAAAATGAAACAAGATTTTAACAATCACCAGTATGTTGGACCCCAATGGTACCACACAAGTGTTAATACAAGTTTGGTGAATTTTTATTACATATTAACAAAACATTTTTTTTAAATGTTGATGAAGTCTAATGATTCTGTGAAATAGCTGAGACTGGGGATAGCCCTCGGAGACCTGGACAACTTTGCGGTACCATTAAAGTCCGACCTACTGATGCTTATTGAAATCTTATATAAAATATTACAGATGTGGCACCTTAAAGCAGAATTACAACTGCCTGTCCCTTACAGCCAAGGGAGGTGCCATCTTAGATCACAGTTGCCATGGTGCCAGGGCCGCCGTCTATTTCAAAATCAATAGCAGGCTGGCTTTTGCACCCACCCACTGAGCAGGCTACTTTCTCTCTCAGGTCCGCTCCTCAGTGGGTGGGTTTTCTTTCAATAGCCAGTCTGCTATTGGATATTTTAAATTACATTACATCCACCTGTTGCCTGCGGAAGCTAGCCGGCAGGAGAATGGGGCCACCCACATAGAGGGGATCGAGGATTGCGCCGCAAGAGGGGGGCTGCAGTAGCTGGTCTTGGGGGAGAAAAAAGTAAGCGAAAATCCAGCAAAAACGTTATTTTATTGTTGGATAGGGCGATACTTTATTGTTGTTGTTGCGAAATTCAGTTTTAGCATCAACCCAGTCCAAGGCAGCTTTAAAATCTAAATATCAGTAATTATAAAGAAAAAGTCGATACCACCCCAATAACCCTCACCATTACACATAGAAAGAATGAATGGAGACCCCTGTAATTCATTAGGCCATCCACTGGACACAGGAAATAACTATTCCCCAACCTATTTGTGCGTGCCCCTGATCTACCAGAAAGAAGGAAGGAAACCAGAAGTTTCCTGGTTGTGTACAATCATTCCTGACCTTGAAGGCACATCTAAGGGCAGGTTCACACCTTTTTCCGGACCAGATCTGCTCCGGAAAGTGGTGTGAACCTGCCCGCAGTTCCAGGCCAGACAAAATGAGACATGCAGTATTTTTCTGGTCTGTTCCGATCTGGAACGGACTGCGCTGGTGTGAACAGAGGCCAGAAATAGCACAGGGATACATTAGGATGCATTTTGAGTCCGGAAACAATCTGGTCTGGAGAGGATCTGGATGTGGTGTAAATAGGCCCTAAAAAGGTGATTCAAATAAACATCCTTCAAAATCAGCGAGCGGCGAGCCCAGAATCCATTCCCCTGTCCTCACTACACAATGTACGCTCCTCCTATCTGCTTCTCCTCAGCTTGAATACCAGACAGTGCAGCAATGATCTAATATACTTTCAACAGACATACAATAAAAGGTCACCATCAAGTTCGTAGAGAGCCCATGTCACCTTGAACATTGCACTCCTTTGTGTGTCCGATATCTTTTCTCAACATTGAAGACAGAAGGTACAGAGGGAGCTCAATGAAAGCTCCTTTTAGTGGCTAAGGCATAGTTCTCTTATGCTTAATCCATAAATATTTTAATGTATATCAAAAATTCTATCAAGATAAAAATCACTACAATAATAATATAACCAGTTGTGGACACTGGACGTACTTAGCACGTCCCAAGAAACATATGTCCGGTGTACTTTGATGTGTTTTTTGTTTCTAAGTCCTGTCCTCCTGTGCCTCCCACTGTTTTGACTGTCAATAAAAAGTTGTGCGCTGCTACAGCTGTAATAGCTGCTAATGTCAAAAAAACAGACCATCTGACAGTTTTTTAAACACTATTCAAACGCGAGAGAGTTTATACAAAAGTAACATTGTTACTGTGTATCTTTGTTTCATTCACCTGCAGATCAAAGGGATGAGCTTTCATCTGCATACTATGTCAGTTAAAGGATAAGTTCACCTTTTGCACCACTTTTGCAAAAATTAACTGCTTCTTGGATGTAACAGGCCGTCTGTTAGCCCCTCCCACTCCTGCACGCAGCGAGCGGGAAACTGTCAACAATTTAAAACAGGCAGCGATGCCTGTTTACATACAACTGGTCTGGCCCTATAGAGCCACTGGATTGCTTGTATGAAGTGCTGGTAGGTGGGCCCCGGCCCCCCAGCACTGATCCCGAGCTGGGCCGGGGGCTGGTATGGCAGCTCTGTGACAGGGGATCAGAGGGGGATCAGTACACGATCTCCCCTCCGGTGTCAGAATGCAGGAAGTGTTCTATATTACATCACGTCCGCATTCTTGTCACTCTGAAGCTGGAGAGAAGCTGATGAAACAGATCTCTGCTTCACCAGCTTCTTTGGGGGTCCCTAGGTGAAATTAGGGATCTTAAAAGATGTCTCCATAAAGAGGACCTGTCACACCCTCTTTGCCATCACATAGGGGGCTTCTTAGCCCCCTATGCGATAATCAAGTGGGGAAAAAAAAGTTAAGTTCCCAAAAAAAATTAGTCACACACAAAAAATAAAAAAAGAATAAAAAAACCCACAAAAAATGTTACCGTTCCTGTGTTGTTGTGACCCCCACATATGAAATCCTAAAACAGTCAACTGCAACAGCTTTGCAGAGGTCTGAGAAAGATTTCCACCTTAAACAGGTGACAATGAGGACATTGGGAGGGCAGGTGTTCATGCTGGCCTCAGGGCAGAGCAGCAGAGGGAGGAATAACTGTAACCTTGTATTAATCCATTAACCATTTTTGGTTAATCCGGTTGGATTTTCCGGTTAGGAGTGCGATGGGTTATGGACCAAGCCTTGTATTAATTCTCTCGCACACTCTGTCTTACTGCTCCTGTTTAGCTTTGCCTTGTCGGGCAACAGAATCGACAAAATGTCTCCTCAGTGTGTTATAATTACCTAATCCCATATTTTCAAGTGCCTTCAAATGAGGTCCTTCCTAAAGGACCTTAGGTGCTCCGAGATGCACTCAATCGCTTGGTCAAGAGCTTTTCTCCACCCAGAGATGTGAAGATGGGTCACCAGCACTCCAAAATGCAAGGAAAATATTGTTTATTGCAAATAAAGTCACAAAAGGTCAAAATAGCCGACATTTCGGGGATGTGCAGGGTGCTTTCCTCAAAGCCTAAGTGGCCCCGAAACGTTTCCTATTTTGCCCTATGTGATGTTATTTGCAAGGCCGTGCGCAGCGGACACTTTCAACACTTTTCTCCACCTCTTCTCACCCTATAAGTTTTCAAACATTCAAGCATTCTCTCTGCCCAGTAGTGAGGCTTATGTAATGGAGTGCGGTGGGAAGTCAACGTCAGTAACTCTCAATACAATATTGTAGCCAGAGATTGCAAAAATAATGGCATTTTAACCACTTCCTGGCCGGAGCTATTTCCTACTAATTTGCACACACAGGATAAAATGTGAATTTTAGGCTAGAAAACAGCTTCAGGCCCCCCAAAAATGATATATGTTCTAAAAGCAGAGGCCATGTGGAATAAAAAAAATGCTAGTTGCAATTTTTTAAGTCACATGGTATTTGCGCAAATGTTTAATCAAACAAGTTTTTTTTTAGGATAACATACACTAAAATGAAATTTAGTGCACAGAAACAGAATATAATACCCAATTTTTTGGTCAAACATAAAAGACGGGGTCGCGCCGGGTAAATAGATGCCAAACATGTCAAGCCTTAAAATTGTGTGTGTCTGTGAAACAGGAACTACAATACATAAACTTTCCCATAGGTGACGCTTTAAAAGCTTTTCCTGCTCATCAGTTTAGTAATTGATGGCCCTACAATTATTCTCTCACTCCGACATTCGTGACGATATGCAACATCTGTGGCGCAATTTTCATTTCTGCACGTAGGCGCACCCAATGTGTGTTTGCGTTCTATGTGCGTGTACGTGGGGGCGGGGGACTTCGATTTAATTTTTTATGTTAATTTTTTTTTTTTTACTCTTAACTTTATTGCCATCACATTGCGGGGCTAAGAAGCCCCCTATGTAAT